GTGTTTATAAGCGCAGCTGCTGTGTTTACGGCGGTAACCAAGGAAACGCTGTATCTGCTGCTGCATGAGCGCCTCCTGCTGTCAGAGAGTGAAACTGCGGCTCATTCAGAGCTTCTGCTGTTTCTGTCTCGCTCAGATATGATTTATGTAGAATAGTTTCATAAAGCTAAAGTCTAATCATTCTGTTTTGCTTCAAATTTCTAAATTATTCAATCTAATTTAAATCTGAATCTGCTCACGTATGCAGCATCTTTGTTTGGATCGTGATTAAAATGCAGTGGTTTCCTCTACTTTTAAATGGAGAGAGCACGTTATATTAAGAGATTTATTTTAATTTTTATTATTTATTCATTTGATTTGGGATTTGTTTTAAAATTCTAGTTTAGTTAGTTGACATACACTCCCGTTCAAAAGTGTGGGATCAGTTAGACTTGTAATGTTTTTTACAGGAGTTTCTTCTGCTCATCAAGGCTGCATTTATTTGATAAAAAATACAGAAAAAACAGGAATATTGTGACAAATTATTACCATTTAAAATAACAGTGTTCTATTTTAATATCTGTTAAACTGTAATGTATTTCTGTGATGCGCAGCAGTATTTTCAGCATCATTACTCCAGTCTTCAGTGTCACATGATCTTCAGAAATCATTCTAATATGCTGATTTATTTTTTGTTGTGCTGCTTCAAATTTTTTTTGGAACCTGTGATACTTTTTCAGGATTATTTGATTAATAAAAAGTTAAAAAGAACAGCATTTATTCAAAATAGAAATATTTTCTAACAATACAAGTCTTTGCTGTCACTTTTTATCATTTTAACACATCTTTGCTGAATAAAAGCATTCATTTCTTTCAAAAAAATAGGAAGAAAAAAATCTGCTGACCCCAAACTTTTGAACGGCAGTGTATATTGTTACAAAATATTTATATTTTGAATAAATGCTGCTCTTTTTAACTTTATTCATCAAATAATCCTGAAAAAAGTATCACAGGTTCCAAAAAACATTGATAATAATCAGAAATGTTTCTTGAGCAGCAAATCAGCATATTATACTGATTTCTGAAGATCATGTGACACTGAAGACTGGAGTAATGATGCTGAAAATACAGCTGCGCATCACAGAAATAAATTACAGTTTAACACATATTCACATAGAAAACAGCTGTTTTACATTCTAATAATATTTCAAATTTTTACTGCTTTTGCTGTATTTTTATGCAGCCTTGATGAACAGAAGAGGCTTCTTTAAAAAAACATGAAAATTCTTACCGACCCCAAACATTTGAACAGCAGCGTATTTTAATTTCACAAAGAAATGTGCAGCATTTTGTCTGAGATATAAAAAAGGACACCTTTACCTTTTATAATTTGTCTTCAATTTTTTTAAAAATCGTGAGAATATCATATTGTGAATCAGTATGGCGTCGTGAGTTGAGTGAATCGTAACGTCCCTGATGCGGACTCTTTAAAAGGCCTCTCAGTGCTTGAGGAAAATAAACGTCATTCACTAATGCTCAGTGTGCATGCTTTACATCAACAAGCAGAAGTGAATCAGAGCAGGATTATAAATTACAGTCAGCTGTGATTTCATGTTGATTTGCAGGTAATCGTGCATCTTAAAGAGCCTCACGACTGGATGATGATGAAGAAGATGAAGGAGCAGAAGCTCTGTTAGATACCTGGTTGTGTGTGGAGTCCAGCGGCACACTGTCAGTCTCCTGATTCAAACATGCAGGTCAATCACAGGCCACGATTAGACGGTTAATTACAAACATCTTCAATTAACACAAGTGCAACATCATATTAATGACTCGACAGAGCGGGGTGGCTGTTAAAACACAATCAGGAGGCGTGCAAACGAGCAGCTGTTGGTGAACAGACACAAGTACCTCGTTCGGATCGCGTTTCTTGGTGAAGATGTTGCGTATGAACATCTCCTGAACCTCCTCCTGTTTGACCAGATACTGCCACAGCCGTCTGACGGGAAGAGCGGAGCGCCGGCGAGACCTGAGAGCGGAATCACACTCGTCACAAAACTACTGACAATTCAGGAGGCACTTACTGAAAATAGAGGTCATTTCATAATCAATTAATTAAGCAAATGTATTTAATAATCTGAGTTGTACACATTTAAATTGTACATAAGACAGTTTTTGTGTCACTATTTTAATTATTATGTTTCTAGTCCATTTTGTTGTTGAAATTAGGGTAATTTCAGCTTAAAATTTGGTTTTGGAAAAAAAGGTCATTGAAGAAAAGCCATTTAATGAGCATATCTCGTTAGTCAGCTAGAAGAGAAAAAAAACTCTAGATAGCAGCATTTTTATAAATGACTAAATATTGCTAAATATAATGTAGAAACTTTAATTTTCTGTAAAGCTGCATTGCAACGATTTGCATCGTGAAGTGTAGTATATATTTATTTAATGCCATGTCAGCATCAAAGGCTATTTTCATGGCAAAAACAATACAAAAAAAAAACAGCAAACAAACAAACAAGTTATATCACACAAGACTTTTTACATTAACGTTTGTGAAAAATTTTCACTGCTTTCTGGCAAAAATTTTCCTAATAATATTTCAAATTTTTACTGCTTTTGCTGTATTTTTATGCAGCCTTGATGAACAGAAGAGGCTTCTTTAAAAAAACATGAAAATTCTTACCGACCCCAAACATTTGAACAGCAGCGTATTTTAATTTCACAAAGAAATGTGCAGCATTTTGTCTGAGATATAAAAAAGGACACCTTTACCTTTTATAATTTGTCTTCAATTTTTTTAAAAATCGTGAGAATATCATATTGTGAATCAGTATGGCGTCGTGAGTTGAGTGAATCGTAACGTCCCTGATGCGGACTCTTTAAAAGGCCTCTCAGTGCTTGAGGAAAATAAACGTCATTCACTAATGCTCAGTGTGCATGCTTTACATCAACAAGCAGAAGTGAATCAGAGCAGGATTATAAATTACAGTCAGCTGTGATTTCATGTTGATTTGCAGGTAATCGTGCATCTTAAAGAGCCTCACGACTGGATGATGATGAAGAAGATGAAGGAGCAGAAGCTCTGTTAGATACCTGGTTGTGTGTGGAGTCCAGCGGCACACTGTCAGTCTCCTGATTCAAACATGCAGGTCAATCACAGGCCACGATTAGACGGTTAATTACAAACATCTTCAATTAACACAAGTGCAACATCATATTAATGACTCGACAGAGCGGGGTGGCTGTTAAAACACAATCAGGAGGCGTGCAAACGAGCAGCTGTTGGTGAACAGACACAAGTACCTCGTTCGGATCGCGTTTCTTGGTGAAGATGTTGCGTATGAACATCTCCTGAACCTCCTCCTGTTTGACCAGATACTGCCACAGCCGTCTGACGGGAAGAGCGGAGCGCCGGCGAGACCTGAGAGCGGAATCACACTCGTCACAAAACTACTGACAATTCAGGAGGCACTTACTGAAAATAGAGGTCATTTCATAATCAATTAATTAAGCAAATGTATTTAATAATCTGAGTTGTACACATTTAAATTGTACATAAGACAGTTTTTGTGTCACTATTTTAATTATTATGTTTCTAGTCCATTTTGTTGTTGAAATTAGGGTAATTTCAGCTTAAAATTTGGTTTTGGAAAAAAAGGTCATTGAAGAAAAGCCATTTAATGAGCATATCTCGTTAGTCAGCTAGAAGAGAAAAAAAACTCTAGATAGCAGCATTTTTATAAATGACTAAATATTGCTAAATATAATGTAGAAACTTTAATTTTCTGTAAAGCTGCATTGCAACGATTTGCATCGTGAAGTGTAGTATATATTTATTTAATGCCATGTCAGCATCAAAGGCTATTTTCATGGCAAAAACTATACAAAAAAAAACAGCAAACAAACAAACAAGTTATATCACACAAGACTTTTTACATTAACATGTGATAAAAATTCTAAAACATTTCCTGGCAAAATTTTACATTGTGAAAAGTGCTATACAAATAAACTTGAATTGAATTGAATAAATATAAGCACTGTATTACATGTTCATTATACTTTTAATTAACCTGCTAGTGATGTCTTCATTATTTAATGTATGTTTGAATAAATCTCTCTTGAAAAGAAATTATTACAGTCATTGTTTAAAAGTTTATAGTTCACCAACAAACTGGAGTAGAAACATAATTCACATAAAAACTGACTTTCGTGCAATTTAATTTTTTTTTTTAAATAAATCTGAATAAGTAACTGATTATTAAATAACATTTATTTTCCTTTCCAAAAATTTAAATTTAGGTGCTTAGGTAAAATTAATAAAAAAATAGTATTAATACAATTATACAAAAAATATTCTTAAATAAGTTTTTGAAAAAAAAAAAAAAAAAAAAAGTTTTGGGTGCATCCTGAATTTTCGGTTTTGTTCCAGAATTTTCAATTTGGCGCATCACTAGTCGAAATATAAACAGCAGCTGTAATAAAAGCTTGTTTTGGTGCCGTAACTAGTAGTAGAAAGAGCTTCTGTCAGCACACATTAAAGAGCCACAAAAACTATTTCAAAAATTATCAAAAATTATTTCCTGATATCAACCGAATTTGAAAGCTGAGGCTTTGTTTCAAATCAAAAGTAACAAACAGTGTTGGGAAAGCTACTCTGAAACTGTATTGCACTGCTTCAATGCATTATAGGCTCGTGACTTGTCAGAACGCAAAACAGAATGTAGCGTTTGGTCGCGCTACACAGCTACTCGCTGGAAAAAGTAGTTAGCTACAGGAAAAGCTACACTGTTTTAAAAGTAGCGTCGCTACTGTAAAGCTACTGAAAGATGTAGTTACGCTAGTAGCGTCGCTACTTGTAGCTAGCTACTCCCCAACACTGGTAACAAATCACAAAGATTACTGTGATTACTGGAAGTTCAGTGAAGCACAGATGAAAGAATTCTGTGCTTCTGATTATAATGTTTAAAAAAATTACAAATTCTAGATTAAAAATGAGAGATCAAAACGCACCATTGGAGAAACACCAATTAAAGTCACTGTTTCAGTCGATGAGTTCAGCCCTACAAAACCAAAACCTGCTGTTTCAGCCGAGTGTTTTGGGTTGCATAAGTGCGTGTGATGAGTCTGCCGCACCTGAAGGGTGTGTTGGAGGGCTCGAACAGTGCTTTGTGCCTCAGCAGAGCCGGACCCGACGACACGCTCTCCTCCAGCAGCTGCGTGCAGATGAACCTCGACGGAGGACCTCCGGAAATCTCCAGCCTCTTGAGAAGCAGCTGCTCCCAGCGCTGGAGCCAGCGTTCTGGATGAGCTCTACACTTTACACTTTACACACACACACATCATATCTCGTTACCTAAGAGGTCGTGACCTGCCATTGGGTAGAAGGTCTTGAGGTTGACCAGGACGGTCTGCACCATGGCCAAGCGCATCAGACACCAGCTGCACAGAAACATCATCATCATCATCATCATCATCATCATCACAGCACAGGTGCAGCTCATCACGCGGCTCACGGCTCACCTGTACGAGCTATTGCTGGAATGCTCTGCCAGCGGAGAGCTGGGATCTCCTTCGTCATCATCCTCCTCGTCCTCACTGCCCTGGCTCTCCTCAGAGTCGTACTCCACTCGGCTGGCAGACGGAGGCAGGTACGGCTTCACGCAGGACACACACATGAGTTCACAAACACAACAGTATCAAACTACTGCGAGCTGAAGAATTAAAGAAAACCTTTGCGATGAAATAATCCCAGATGCTGAGCTCAGGCGGCACGAAACGCTCTTTACAGACGGATGTGTCCGGCTCCATCGCCACGGGTCTGGGACTGTCGGGAACGTCTCTGGAGTTACTGCGTGATGAGCTCAGCCGGGAACGCCGCTGCTTCCTCTCCACATCTTCCACTAACACACAAATAAACAGCAGATAATAGTGAGCAAGATGCCATAAATTCACTCAAACACAACAGAACGCTTTAATAGCTCTGGAGCTGAACACTGCACAATCACTGTTTAGATTCATTTGTTTCAGGGTTTTCCAGACAGGGGTTTTTGAATTGAGAAAAAGCTAATAATTAATAAAAATGTCAAATTAAAATAAATAAATGACTTAAAAAAAGAAACAAACAAAAAATCATTAACTAAAAAATGAATTAAATCATTAAAATGTAAAATAATAAGTAAATAATTTTAAAATAAAAACAAATCTAAATGTAACCCTTGCTAAAAATGAATTAAATAATAAAAATGCTAAATAATAATTAATTTTAAAATAAAAAAAATCCAAATAAAACACTTATTAAAAATGAATTAAATCACAAAAATGCTAAATTTAAAAACAATTTTAAAATAAAACACTCATTAAAAATGAATTAAATCACAAAAATGCGAAATTTAAAAACAATTTTAAAATAAAACATAAAAATAAAACACTTATTAAAAATTAATTAAATCACAAAAATGCGAAATTTAAATACATAATTTTAAAATAAAAAATCTAAATAAAACACTTATTAAAAATGAATTAAATCACAAAAATGCGAAATTTAAAAACAATTTTAAAATAAAAAATCTAAATAAAACACTTATTAAAAATGAATTAAATCACAAAAATGCGAAATTTAAAAACAATTTTAAAATAAAAAATCTAAATAAAACACTTATTAAAAATGAATTAAATCACAAAAATGCGAAATTTAAAAACAATTTTAAAATAAAAAATCTAAATAAAACACTTATTAAAAATGAATTAAATCACAAAAATGCGAAATTTAAAAACAATTTTAAAATAAAAAATCTAAATAAAACACTTATTAAAAATGAATTAAATCACAAAAATGCGAAATTTAAAAACAATTTTAAAATAAAAAATCTAAATAAAACACTTATTAAAAATGAATTAAATCACAAAAATGCGAAATTTAAAAACAATTTTAAAATAAAAAATCTAAATAAAACACTTATTAAAAATGAATTAAATCACAAAAATGCGAAATTTAAAAACAATTTTAAAATAAAAAATCTAAATAAAACACTTATTAAAAATGAATTAAATCACAAAAATGCGAAATTTAAAAACAATTTTAAAATAAAAAATCTAAATAAAACACTTATTAAAAATGAATTAAATCACAAAAATGCGAAATTTAAAAACAATTTTAAAATAAAAAATCTAAATAAAACACTTATTAAAAATGAATTAAATCACAAAAATGCGAAATTTAAAAACAATTTTAAAATAAAAAATCTAAATAAAACACTTATTAAAAATGAATTAAATCACAAAAATGCGAAATTTAAAAACAATTTTAAAATAAAAAATCTAAATAAAACACTTATTAAAAATGAATTAAATCACAAAAATGCGAAATTTAAAAACAATTTTAAAATAAAAAATCTAAATAAAACACTTATTAAAAATGAATTAAATCACAAAAATGCGAAATTTAAAAACAATTTTAAAATAAAAAATCTAAATAAAACACTTATTAAAAATGAATTAAATCACAAAAATGCGAAATTTAAAAACAATTTTAAAATAAAAAATCTAAATAAAACACTTATTAAAAATGAATTAAATCACAAAAATGCGAAATTTAAAAACAATTTTAAAATAAAAAATCTAAATAAAACACTTATTAAAAATGAATTAAATCACAAAAATGCGAAATTTAAAAACAATTTTAAAATAAAAAATCTAAATAAAACACTTATTAAAAATGAATTAAATCACAAAAATGCGAAATTTAAAAACAATTTTAAAATAAAAAATCTAAATAAAACACTTATTAAAAATGAATTAAATCACAAAAATGCGAAATTTAAAAACAATTTTAAAATAAAAAATCTAAATAAAACACTTATTAAAAATGAATTAAATCACAAAAATGCGAAATTTAAAAACAATTTTAAAATAAAAAATCTAAATAAAACACTTATTAAAAATGAATTAAATCACAAAAATGCGAAATTTAAAAACAATTTTAAAATAAAAAATAAAACACTCATTAAAAATGAATTAAATCACAAAAATGCAAAATTTAAAAACATAATTTT